TTGCACTATGACATACACAGAACGCACACACTCAATTAAGCTGAAAAATCGAATCATCCTTGATAATGGCTAAAGGTATAGCTGAAAGCGCTCAGAAATATAAAAGATTTGGACAGTTCTTACACGCCCTTTGTCCAGAAAAGAAAGCTCTTGTTCGAACATAAGAAAAATTAAATAAAAAGCTTAACCGTAGTACCTTGTCTGTCGTTTTTAGTGAAACATGCATAAAGGAAGGATTGCTGCCTAAATATACAACTCTCTCTCTCTCTCTATATATATATATATATATGTATATATATATATATATATATACACACACACAGAGTCTGTCCTCAAAAATATATACACATTTCAGGAAAAAAAAATTGACATTCGTAGTATATAAAATTGTGATAACACTCTTTACTGTAGTATTTTCTTGACCTATGGTATTACTCTCAGGGCTGTAGCATCAACAAGCCCAAAAGGATGTTGTATATTGCAGAAAACTGACTATATTGGCAGCCCTTAAACAAGAAATTGAAATGCATGTGCAGCAATCCCGCTGGACACTTTGACCACGTTGTCCAAATAATAGTTTGGCATACAAATAAATGTCTGGAAGCTAAAGGATACCATTTGGAGTATCTCTTGTAATTGAAGAATGCAAATGTAACTTGTATTAAAGTTGTGATGTCTGAATAAATTTTGTATTACAATATCTATACAATTTTTTCCGTTCCTAAAGTGTGTTTACATTTTTTTGCAGACTCACTCTCTCTCTCTCTCTCTCTCTCTATATATATATATATATATATATATATATATAATTGAATATGTCTATGTGATTATTTGTATTAAAGTAGTTTCATTTCTTCTCTAAATCTGTATCCAGAATTTCATGGATTTTTCATATGTAATCCTCAATAGAATTTCTGATGACCTAAGATTTTTTTCCCAGACTTTATTTTCTTTTCTCTACTAAAAACTTGCTTTTTATAATGACTTAAACTGTTAAAAATAACTTGTAAAAATGATATGTCAAATAAATTGTAGAATGCATATGAGCACAATATTTCTGTTTTAATGGTAATATTACTTGTTTCCCTATAAGGCAACATTTGGCATTCTTTGACCAAGACACAACTGAGAGATGATAAATGAATGCGTTACAAACTACTTTATAGTAATTTGGTAATGTCTTTCCAGGAATAGGATATTGTTTTGCTACACATGAGTCTCCATACAAAGGTAGTGCAAACAAATGGATCAGATATTGTGAATTTAATATTAAAATGTACCAAAATCCAAAGAGAAAACTCATTATTACATGACAATTTAGTGTTTATATAATTTATTATTTATTTATATTTAAACAAATTCCAAATTTGGTGTTGTAATGGACAATCTACCATGTTGTTCTATGTGGTTTATGCGAACATTTGAATCATGAGCCTTCCCATGAGTCAGCATTTAAACTAGATTGAAGTGAAAAAAAAAGACCTAAAAATGATACAATGCTTGCCAAAGTATTTTGTCAAGCTATCATTTCATGTAATGAATGTACATATGTATTTCTGAAAGAACGCAACTCTTTTAATACTACGTAAAAAATGGAATGATGCTATTAATGTACTTGATTTTTAACCAATTTGACAAGTAAGGTAACAATGCCACTAAGATGCAAGGGACTACTAGGAGTGAAAGAGAATTCGAATATTTTAAAAAGGAACTGGAAATCCGAACATAAAAAAAAGTGATAATCTTCTACTCCTGTTCAAAAGAGTGGGGAGGAGTGTGAACTGGATGATAGGCAAACCTTTCTACTCCTATTGGAGTCATGTTCTTAAATAGCATTGTCATGTAGAGACTTCTATATGAATGTCCTGCATGATTCTAAACCAATTCAGAAATAGCTAAACTGTCAGGTATATACAATCACTTTCTAAGATCAATAGTTAAAAACAGTTTCGAACGAGTGAATCCTGATGGTCTTGACAAAGATCATCCTCCATTGAACGTTATGAACTGGCATTATAGATTCACAAAAACTGTACCAAATTACAGAAACCATATCATTTGTGGACTAACAACAGCAAGATCAACTAAAATGGATAGCAATTGTAATTCGAAAATAAAATAATGACTTTCGGATGAAATTTTAAAATTCTTTTTCTTAAAACAATTTTTAAGAAAATAGGTTTCTCAAATCCAGTAGCTTTTATCACTCTTCCCAGTATTGATGGGGGTTTCCTTCCTAACCTTTTGTTTGAAGCAGTGTGGAATGATTAAGTCATTAGTTTCATACACACATACACACTATAATTTGACATTGATAATGCATAGTTTTACAAATTTGTATTTTATCAACTTCATATACATATGTAAAAAAATGAAAAAAAAAATTATTTCAGGCAGCATTTATTTATTTTTCAGTGTAATCTCCTTGTCACTGCACTTAATTCATAGGTGTATAGTAATCACAAAGATTGAAATAATGTGAAAGATTCAAATTTCAGCTAATATCTGTCTGGTAGGCTACAAATCTCTTTATCAACCTTCAAATATATTGTCATCCACAGACAAACTGTTTCACTGTTTCACAGCTCATCAGTGTGGCTAGATATCCAATTACCTCAAGCTGGGATCGAAACTCAACTGATTTGGTATCAATCATAGATTCTACCCCTAAGCCAATGGCAGAGATGAAGGTGAATTTAGACGTAGTTATTTTTAGGCTTAAAAAATGCCAGTCATTGCAGAACTCGATTCGTCTTATATATATATATATATATATATATATATGTGTGTGTGTGTGTGTGTACACACACACACACACACACACACACACACACACACACACACACACACACAGTGTTTCAAATTATTAACAAGGTAACACTTTTTCATACTATCCAAAACTACCAGTTGAAATTTAATGAAATTATCAGAGAATGATGACAATATATACCTACTATGTAAAAACAGTAAGGTTCTAGAAAAGGAACAGAAATTACAGTCATTTACCGAATTTACTTAAATTATTAGTGTGTCAAATTATTAGCAAGGTGTAATAAAAAACCCTGTAAAAAAGAAAATAACACTTTAATTGCTTCATTTAGAGATTTTTATGAATACATACAGTAACTAAGATGAAATTAAAATTGAAATAAAAAAGTAAACAGAATTCAAAATGATAGTGGATTTGGTTAATATGATATATAAGATCCTTTTTTTTAAATGATTTAGAAAAAGGCCCTGGATGTCAATTTCTGGATCACCTCTGATGTAATTTCATGTGATACATTGACTATTTCCTGTCATAAGTCATCTTCTCTTTTAAATTGGCATCCATTCTCATAAATATGTCTCTTCAGAATGCTCCACAAGTTTTCAATTGGGTTTAAGTCTGGAGAATTGACTGGCCAGTTCATCTTCTGATGTCCACAGAAGCCTAATTTCTGCAGGTGCTCCATAGTTTTATGCATTGAATGGAAAGGAGCATTATCTTGCATAAATATGATTGTTCTCTTGAAGGGGATTCTTTGATTTTTTAGCCAAGATTCTAGGTGCTCTTTGAGGAAGGCTACTATATAAGCATTTGCAGTTATTTTCATATGGTCAGGTACTCTCCCCGGATCAACCATGATACCTCCAATAATACCAGCCCAAATCATAATACCTCCTCCTCCTTGTTGGCATGTCAAGCGTTGATGATGATCTCATTCATTTACAACTCAACCCTTGCTCCAACCCTCTGGGCCATCGAGTGCTGCACGACTTTTCTCTGTGAACAGAACTTTTAAGAGATCAACCTTCATATTCTCCATTGACCATTTCAAATGCATTTGTATGTGTACTTTTGTCAACTGAGGCTTTGTGACTGGTTTCACCAACGTTCCAACCTTTTTCAGAAGACGATAGTGAGTACTTCTGGATACTGATACTTCTCCAATATGCCTGTAAAGTGTTCTACTGGTCAGGCCTGGGTTATTTAGAGCTTCATGTTTCATTCGTGACAAAGAATGTAGGGAAACAACCATCGAGTGACACTTATTGGTCCTCTTATATACTTTCAAGGAGAGCTACAACACATCTTTTCACAGTTTCATGATATCTTCCAATTATTTTGGATATTTCTCATGTAGATCTGCCTTTTGAAAGTTCAGATATTATAATATCTTTCTCAGAAGGGGTCAAGTCACATTTGTAACCCATAATTTTTATACAGTTTGTGCATATGCTTATTCCCATTATACTGTGAACATTTTGTTAAATTCTGACTGGTAATTTTCGGACAGAATGAAAAAATGTCGCCTTGTTAATAATTTGAAAGGCAGTGTGTGTGTATATATATATATATATATATATATATATATAATTTGAAAGGAAGTGTATATAGATATAATAATTTTAAAGGCAGTGTATATATATATATTTATATATATATATATATATATATATATATTTATTTTAACAAAACCTAAAATTCTTATTCAGATGCAGTCTTGAATACAAATGACAATACTGAAAAAAGAAAGAGAAAAAAGCCTGATAACAAACTTACTTACTCAGGAAAGTAAAATGCTCAAAGCCTAGATTGCCTAGACCGAGCAAAAAACATGTACCAGTGTTAAATCATATGAAAGGAAGGCTCTAGTCATAACTCGAGTTTCACACTCTTGTGATTTACAGGTGACTTGAATATATATATAGTAAGAAAAATGCAAACCGTTGATGGAACTACTACTTACCAAAAGCTAAAAAAGTTATCTAGATACTGTTAAAATATATATATATATATGTGTGTGTGTGTGTGTGTGTGTGTGTAAGTGGACACTGAGGTCAACACTGACACTCTGTTTCATGGTCTGAAGATTTCGTTCAAGCATGAAGCACAATGCCGCCAATAAATTGGACCCCAGTGACTACTTCAATGTCTACTTTATATTTATCATGGCCTATCTATCATATTGAAGAATTTTATCCATAGATATAACATGCCTTAAAATATATCTCTATTATATATATATATATATATATATATATATATATATATATATATATATATAGAGAGAGAGAGAGAGAGAGAGAGAGAGAGAGAGAGAGAGAAAGAGATAGATAGATAGATAGATAGATAGATAGATAGATAGATAGATAGATAGATAGACAGATAGATAGATAGATAGATAGATAGATAGATAATGCTAGGGTATTTTAAATTTTTTGTGCTTATACAATATTGTGTAATAAAGTTAAATTTGAATCAACAGGTTTCATTGAAGAACCAAAAATATAATAGTGTTTGCTTTGCATATCTTTGAATGATTTTATTATGGAAGTTTTTTTCCAGAAGCAAATGATATTAATGTGTCACATAAATTTTTCAATTTGAAAATACGAGGCAACATTTTTGTCAGGATTTGAACACTAATTTTCAAAAATAAAGATGCTGTGAAACAATGAATCTAAATTCAGAAAATAGTAGAAAATTGAAAATCAAATGAAAAACTATTCTGTTAATTTCCAATCCAGCCAAATCCTGGCTATTTTCAACACAGTCAGTCTGGCATCATCTTCATTATAAAAGGCTCAATCTTCAGCATGACATGTAATTTGCGTTCAAATTTATTTGTTTTTATTTGCAATAAATCAATTGTATACGTCCAGGCATATCAATTATAAATACTGTTATTAATTCCATACTGGAAAACCAAAAGTAAACTCCTGCGACTGATGAGAAAATAAGTTTCAGAATTTTGCAAGTAAATTTTCATGAATCACAGAATTTGGAATGTTCACTTTTACAGAAGAATACATTGAGACACTTACACATAAGCATGAGTTTTCTCACTTATCCTGAACAGAACAGCAATCAGTAGTACAATGGTCATCCTAATCAATATGAGAGGCATCTGATCTGTAGGGTAGAATTAAATAGGATTCATTTTGTACATTTTAAAATAAAATCTGTGTGGCTTTTAAGCTAGTATTTTAAATAAAAACATTTAGTTGTAGTTTTATGCCATATTCCTTCATGTCGTAGATGAAAATGACTCTCCACAGATTCCTTTTATTTATTATCTGTGAATTGCCATGGAATTTTGGGAAAGGTAGTGGAGTAGTTTCCTGTTGCTTTATCTATGGGTTAAAATTTAGAGTTTTCCTTTTTTTAAAATGGTTGCTAAATCTGGAAAGACGAGTTTACCTTATTATCTAGCACATTGTGAATTGAAGAAGAAGTATTGGATTCATGTCTTTCCCCAAGAGATCTGTGTGAAAGTGAACGCAACAGTCAAGCCTGGAATTTGAACTCAACTTGCCAATTTCTCCTTCTATACCAATAGCCATTCAGTTTCTCTCACATTCAGTTGGAATGTATAGACTCGAATTGGTCAAGTGTCTCTGAAATAGAGACGACTGAAATTAAAATAGCAAGTCAATTAAAAATAGCAGAATCACATAGAGAAGTAAGAGTCTGACAGAAGTAAAACAAGGATGCATTTTCTCAACTGATTTATACTTATACAGCAAGACAATACTAAGAATATTAAAAGACCTACCCGGATTTTTGTCGGCGGAAATAATATTCAGCATTTAATCTCCTACAAAGTAGTCTCTATCTGAAGTCATACACTTTATTCAGTGTTGTTTACACTGATAGAAAACTTCCTTGAACTCATTTTTTTTTTATAGCAAGTAGCTACTTAGCAGTATTTGCTTGAATTTTCTTGACATCATGAAATCTTGTTTGTTTCATGTGGGATTTGATTTTTCAGCAGGAAAAAGTTGCAAAGAGTGAGATCTTGAGAGAATGATGGCTGGTGAATGTTGTACTTTTCCAAATACTACTGTACAAGCTACAGTCTTTGATGGAACATCTGTGATGAAGTGAGATGACACACTTTCCTTCAAAGCATTGCAACAAACAACAGAAGTGGATGAGAATTTAGTTTATATTTGCAACAATGTTCAAGATCAATCAGCGCCAAGTGGTTTAACAATGTCTACTTTAAATCTGTTACAATAGCAACAGTCCCGATACTTTTTGATCAGACTTTGTATGTCATACTGGGCAAAAGATATGGTGCATTAACAATTATCCATCTACCATATGTGCGTTTCTGCCATGAACAGAGAATTCAATTCCAGAGAAATATGCAATATTGTTTGCTAAATCGATTTCTGTACTCTTCGATCACTACAACACGGACATGTTAACGTCATGGGGTAAATGTCTAATATTGTGTAGGGACCTATCTCACCCAACAAAGTGCAGCAACTCGACGTGGCATCAATTCTACAATTGGTCAGAAGGTCTCATTAAATATGCTGTGCTATGCCATCTCAATAGCCTCCCACAGCTCTTGAAGAATCTTCTGTTAGAATAAACCTCTCCATCATTTTCCATAAATATTCGAATATATTCTTGTCGGGAGGATATAGTGGCCACAGTATTCGCGGGAAATCTCCAAAATGCTCTTCAAACAAATTTTGGTTAAATTGGTCTCAATGATATCACATTATCTCAGTGGAAGAGGTAATTGTTGTTGCAATACATGGTGTCCATGAACAACAGCAAATAGTTACGGAGCAGTGTTACATACCACTCACCATTGAATAAAGTATTCAGGCAAGCCAGTAGATCGAGCCTATGTTAAGTTAACACATGCTCCACGATTGCAGAACAACCACCAGCCTGTACTAAATGTTCTCTTAGAGTCTGCTAATGTCAATCCATCAGAAGACAAGTGGATCAATGAATCATCAAACCACACTATACTTAGTCTTTCCTTCAGGGGACAATTAGCAATGTCACAAACCTAGTTGAATCATTGTAAAGGGTAAAGAATAGAAAATACAGACACCCCAATGAGTATTCTGATTCCATCTGCCATGAAAGCTAAAACACATTGAAATAACCTGATATAAATTCTCTCTTTCTCTCTCTCTCTCTATATATATATAAATATATATATATATATATATATATATATAGGAGGCATGGTGGGGTAATGGGTAGCGGCTTGGACTGAGGAATCGCAGAACCGAGTTTGAATTCCAGTTGAATCCATTACATTCACTTATTTGCTAATACCCTTGGGAAAAGGTATGAATCCTCTTCCTCTCCCCTCCAGCTATGGGTAAAATAGCAGGACAGACTGGGTTCTATAGCCTTGGATGGCAACGGGTCTAGGAGAAGGACAACTTGAATTCAAAACCTGTGGAGGGTCGTTTGGGAACCTTGTGGCACTCGGTGCACCAGGTCTCTGTATTCGTCCCTTCAAAAGTGTGGATGGTCCTGCATGATTTTTCACCACTATAATCAAATCTCATGTGCGGGGTGTCAGTCTGTGGGTTTCCTGGAAACTGATCACTTGACCTCATATGTCAAATCTCGACAGGAGAGTCGATTATATATATATATATATATATATATATATATATATATATAGAGAGAGAGAGAGAGAGAGAGAGAGAGAGTTTCTGCATTGAATGCGTATAGGATTTGAATCAGTGTTGCTTTGTTAGGCATCTCTGATCATGATTATTGAGGACTTGTTGTATACAATGGGCAGTAATGTTTTCCATCAGTACACATATGGCACCATAGATTGAGGGATGTCAAATTCTGTCACAGCTTGAGAAATAGAATATCTCATCAATCCAGTACTGACTATGATGCCCATTTTGATCCCATCTCTTTGCCATGAGCAGCCTAACCAGTATTCACATTGATGCACCTGATGACAGAGCAGAACTGATAGAGGTCTCGGCATTTCTATGACATGAGAGTACAGTGACAACGCTTTCCCATTAGTTTTTTAAAATTCAGAGTATATGGGGTGGGATGAATGCATTACTATGATATAATGTAATTATCAAATCCTTTCATCAACTCATCATGAACTCTAGCAGCAAATGTAAGCATACATAATAAAATTTTTTTAAATCTTAAGTGAAAAATAAACAAAATAGAAACGGACAAAAAAGAAAATGAATAAAAGGGTTGTTCCTCACATTTGGTTTCTGAGATTTGCATGTGTTCTAGTCAGGTCATTCTGTTGAATCTTTTGCTCAAGGGAACTTAAAACGACAGATCTACATTTGGTGATGGAATGTCTCTATTGAATTTAAAGGTTGAAGTCAACATTGTTCAGGTTAGTCTACTCAGATAAATGATGATCTAGCATTAGTTTTTCTATTAGGAAGGAAAAAATAAATATAGGTTCTTTATGGATCTGTTCATTACATCTCTGCTGGTAATTATGTGGTAGAATACATAGTAATCTAGTGTGTAACTGAATGACAAAGAGAAAAAACCTGCATTACGCCTTTTGTCATTATCATGGACATCATCAGACTAATAGAGCTGTTATCGATTGAGTCAGGCCTATAAATATGGAAGCAAAGAAACAAGGCAAATATCAGTTACAATTTTACCCCAAGAAACACTGAAGGTACAAAGATGCTTAATTTAATCTCTTTTTAATTTTTGGCATCTAGTGTATATGAAGAAGTCTCTGTTAGAGATGAAATGTGTAATGAAGGAGATTTGCTATGCAATTACCCAGTATTAGTTTCCCATATAGATTTGAATATATCATCCCTACACTAAGTATGAATTACTTTTAACCAATAAATAGTATCTTATCTGACAATTACAAGAACTGACATACTCAGAAAATTTCATATTTGTGTACGTCTTGGTGTGCATAACTTGTTTACTTTGAGAAATTTATTATACATATTAGTGAAGTAGATTTCTTCATAAATGCAATGGTCATGTGCTGAGAGGTACTGTTTTCTAGGAAGTCACTGTGAAATTCCATGAAAAGTGAATGCTTTCAGCTAATTCTTCTGTCTTCGTGCCAAAGTAGGTGAATTCAGAATCTTTTATTTGGCAGTTATTATTTAGTCCACTCGATTAAGGGAAGAAGGAGATAAAATCAACAAGAAAGTTTTAAGATGTTCATATATCATCATTCTGAAGGCATTCAAATCTTTCAAAGTTGAGAAGGTGATATCAAACTTTTATATATTCAAATATAACACACCTTTTTTTTTTCCAATATAAGAAACATATATAAAATATTAGTATATTTTAATATTCCTCTTCTCGTTGGTTACATCATCAATGATGTTTCCTGGCCTAACTAGGGGTTTTGGATCTTTCCATAGTTTGTAGTGATCTTGCGATGAGGAA